TCCTGATGCTGAGCCTTCAACAGCATTTACACCTCTATGTAAAAAGGTAAGAAGTAGGAAGGAAGAGGCTTTAAAAGACACCACCTTAACATCTCCTCTCTTACAGAAGAGAAGTCACTGTAAAACCAGGAGGAGAAGTAAAAAGGAGGCTATCAGCAGCTTCCTGGCCAAATGCCCACATGAGTGCAGGTGAGTCTGTATGTTCCTCGTTAACATGCCTTCTGGCATGCCTGCAAGCTTTTGTAGAGAGCCTGGTGGTCACGGCTGCCAATATCTGCTGGTGAGGAGGTAAGCAAACCACAGCCTGTCCAAGTTAAACAAGTTAAGGCCAGGACTTTGAAAAACTCAAGAGACCCACATAGGGTGTGTGGGAGGGAGCACTCGGGTATGATGTAGGTGCAAGGGAAAACAGTTCTTATTAGTCTTCTCTTCATCGGACTTCCCTGAAACACTCATTTTTAGACCAAGTATGCTGCACCTAACTGTGGGTTAATTAGAAACAGGATGCTTGCAGCCTCTCCTCTATTCCTATTTTCAGAGGAAATGTTCATCAGCACAAAGACAGCAATGCAGAAGTCCTGTCTCCTTGGTGGGTAACTGAAGTCATCCCCTTTGTCCCAAACACCAAGGTGTTTGGTAGAAAAATAAGCAGCAGAATAAGATAAATTTGTGGAAAACCCCAGTTGAAAAGTAGATTTTAAATGTGCACTGAGTTGAAATACTGTGGGCTTCTTCTGTAAACTAACTTAGAAATAACTTGATCTGTTTCCCACTCAGTGCGGGAAGACCTTGGTGGCAAATTCTGCCCTAAACCAAACCCACCTGCCATGAACTGCTAGGGCCACAGGATGCCACTGTTGCATTTCTTTTTCTGGAGGTCAAAAGAATGTGTGACAAATTGTTTGCATGAACTGGACACCTAAATTTAATGCCTCTTTTCCCTTCTTAACACACATAATTGCCAATGTAAAGCTCCAGACAGACCGACCAGATGTAAATAGCTCAGAGCTATACAGGATTATGTGTTTTGATCAGGAAGAAAATGTCTGAATACCTTTTAAGGCCAGATTACTGAACCCAGCATCTTCGTGTGTTCATAAATTTTCTACGCACAAGAAATCTTCCCAATGACTGCCAGGAGTGTTGACTCCAACCCTGATAGTTTTGACCACAAAAAAAATACCCTCTTATTGGATTTTATCTATGTCCAGATGAGAAAAGAAAAACACTGGATTGGAGAGTAGATTAAATCAGAGAGAAGGCAGGCTGCTCATAATTCCTACCTCTTGTGAAAGAGCAAGAGCCCCTCCATGTTAATAAAACTTCATAAATATTTTACTAATATAAAATGGAATGCAATGTATTCATGCCAAGAGACAGAAAAGTGGCCTGAGTTCCCAGATAGCTACTCTTGCTTAAATTTTATGCAATTTGCAAGCTGGCACACAGAATCCAAAGCCCGGGACTACTGAGACCTCCAGCATGGTCAAGACAGAGGCAGATCACAAAGGTCCACCAGTGTCAATTTAAGAGCAGTCGAGATTGCAGTGATCTACACAGGATCTAAAAGTCCTCTGAAAGCAAATTCAGTCCTGAAGTACTTTTACATTTGCATTTAAGTGGTAAATTATTATGGAAAACTAAGTATGGGGTTGCAGATAGTCTCCAAGATCTACGCAGACAGGGGTTCCCCCCAAGTCCAGCATGACATAGATGGAATTTGTGAGAAAGGACTGTTAAGAAATGAGGGAGAAATTTTAATGCTAACAGTTTCTCAGATTTCAAAAGCCGGTTTGGTTTCGCTCAACATTTTAGAAGGAGAAAAATGGCTTTAGCCTACTACAACTCCACTTAGGAACAGGGAAAAAGAAAATGAATTATAAGGTTTCAGATACAGCTTGGGTGGCCAGCAACAGCAGAATTTGAGGAAAGTCAGCATGAAACTGACAGCTGTGGTGATGCAGAGCATTACCGAGGCTGGTGTTACGGCCCCGTACTTCAAGCTGATATAAATACAAAGGGGCCCACAGATAACAGCCTTTTAGGATTCAAGGCTTCAATAGAAACATCCTCACTGCCTTCAGCCCACTTTGGATGTGTCCCAGAAGTCGACTATTCCCCAGTCAGAGCCTAGATTCAGTGAGACAAAATCCCATTTTCAGAAAGCTATTGTAGATGTTTAAATCAGAACTAGGCAATTGCTCAGAAGATGCTGGGAGGACTCAGCCTTGTGAGAGAAATAACTACCAACCAAACAATTCACACATTACCAAAGACAACAATAAAAGAAGGCCTAGGACTGGTTCTATTGCTTTTAAAAATAAGTATTCATAATAACACACACCAAGGATACAATATTAATATTAAATCATTTGTGACTGTTTACACTTCTTTGGCTGAAGCAACGGCTGAAGCAATTTTTGGTGTTGTGATTTTTTTTCTCACTAAGAAAGAAAAAACTTGACCAACACATAACCAATTACTTAGTTCCCAAATTCAATTTACCTCCCATTCCAAAGACCAGGGATTTCAAAATCTCTTTAAGAAAAGAAAAGAAAAAATAAATAAAAGCCTTCAACCCAAATATTTTTGTGTTGTTTATAACAATAAACAACAGATTTCATATAAAAGCAACACCACGAGGGCAGAAAAAAGTGTTCCAAAGCTAATTTTAGTCCTGCTGATCTCAGGAGCTTAGTGTTCCTGTCAAACTGAACAGACTGCAGTGGTGCCCTGCCTGCCTGCCTGCCTGCCTGGAGAAATCTGTCCCTGGAGGTCTATTTATAGCACTTTGTATTCTATACCTAGATTGGTTTTTAGAGTTTTGTTTTGTTCTGTTTTGTTAGACTGGAGCAAGTATCTAGGACTGTGTTGATCCAAGACACAGATGTGACCTACTCAAGTAAATTACCAGAAAAAAAAAAGTGTAGAAATTATTCACACTTCATTTTCTGCACATCAGTCCCCTGGACTTCATCAGTTAGTCAAAATTCAGTCCCAAAAGTTATTTCTATTTAAAGGAGAAGTTGATGACAGAATCAAGTATATCTCTGACAGAAACCCTTCTGCTTACATAAAACACAGCATTCTTTTACCTGCAGTAAGGTAAGAACAAATAATCGTATCTTTTTCCTGGGTGGTTCTCATTCAAATTTAGACAGTACCATATCCAATCCCTTCATGATTTTCTCCTTAGAGACACATTCCTACTGCTACCTCTGGATGTTTCTCCCTCATCAGCATCATTTTTTGTGGCTTGTTTCATATTCTTACATCATATATAGGCAACTCCAGCAGTCACTACCTACCCTGTGTTTGCTTTATGAATTCCCAGGGAAAATCCCTTATGTCATGAAGTTTTTTTATGTAGATCTCGCCATGTAATTCTGTGTTGATTGTGACCCTGTTATTTCAACTACTTGGTTCCATAATGACTTTAACTACTTTTTAAACACTTACTTTGCTCGTCAGCTTTACGGAATTTTACCCAGTCCATAATAAAATCCCTTCAGTTCCATCCAATCTTCCATCAAACCAAAATGGCTACAACTGAACCTTTTCAGCCCAGAAAGAAAAATGTTTTAACAAAACTACTAGTGATACTGTAAAAAGTGGCTGTCAAGGATATTTCCGTATTTCAGCCCCTCCAAAAAGTCTGTTTCCAGTGGTGTCTCCCTGCAATTTTTTGTCTGGTTGTATAAAACCTGCTCACCAGAAGGGAGATGTAATTCCTCATGCCCCCCATAAAAAGCAGATATCTTCTGCTGGATGCAAGTGATGAATCTATTTCCCAAATGTTTGTCATCGAGACAGGAGAATGGAATTCATGCAGGCACCCTAATCTTCAGGATAAAATCTGCCAAACTAGCCTAAATGACCTTTAAACAGAAACAGTAGGAATTAGAAACAAACAGAACTACGAAACAGTAAACCACTCCTGCTGTTAGGCTGCCTTTGCTAGCCAGATGACAGCCGCAAACCGAGAAGGCGTAGCGACTAACTGATGGGTAGTAGTGCCTCAAACTGCAACTTCACATTAGGGCTTCAGTTACGTTCACCACTCAGTGCTGCCAAGAGAAGTAGCCCCCTTCCCCCACCCCTTCCCCAGTTTCTTCCCTGTGGGACATGTACTTTTGCCAAGCCCTTGCTCCAGCGCACATTTGATTGCAGCACAAAGCCAATTCAACTCACTAAACCAGCAGAAAGTAAATTGGTTTTGGCTGGAGAGCAAGTTGAATTGGATTATGATGTGATCAAGCAAGCACTAGGGTTGGTGCAAGACAGAGAGGAGAAGATGAGCTGAGTTGTACATGTGAAGGCGGGAACAGCAGAAGAGGTCTAGGCAAGGCGAGAATGGTAAACAGCAAAAGAAGCTGTTAACACAGCTTATGCAGAACTGGGAATCACAGTCTTACCACAGTTCAAAATACATGCCTTGAGCATTCAGTTCTTGTATCTCCTCATTTTAGGGACAGCAGCTCCTCTGATACCTGCTTGTTACTTACAGGGGATTTTGGATTTAGCTCTAGCATGGGACTGCACTAACGGTTACATATCTTAAGGCCGAATCCAAGAAGCACTGGTACCCCAAGCGTGCTGCAGTGAAAGCCCTGGGAAAGAAAGGGATTTTATGGGAGGGGGCGAAGGGATTCATCTCTTCTCTCAGGTAACTAGCAAGAGGACAACAAAACATAGTCCCAAACTGTGCCAAGGGAGGTTTTCCTTGGACATTAGGAAGAATTTCTTCACATGAAGGGTGATTAGACATTGGAATGGGCCCAGGGAGGTGGTGGAGTCACCGTCCCTGGAGGTGTTTAAGGAAAGACTGGATGTGGCACTTGGTGCCATGGTCTAGTTGACACGGTGGTGTTAGGTCATAGCTTGGACTGGATGACCTCAGAGGTCTTTTCCAACATAACTGATTCTGTGATCCTCATCGCCGCCGCGGCTGCCGTTCCCAAGAGGGCGCGGGCAGGGCCGCACCTGGGCCGGGCCGCCGCGGGAGGGAGGTGCGGCGGGCGGAGGTGGGAGCGCAGCCGGGCAGGGGAGGGCTGTCCCGGCTGCTCCCGGGAGCTGCTGCTGGGCGGGACGGAGCTCAGCGCTCCCCTCAGGTGAGGGGTGGGGGTCCGCTGGCCTTGGCCGTCGGGGTGCCGAGGGAGACGGGCTCTTCCCAGAGGAGCAGGCGGCGGGTGGGCGGCGAAGGGGACGGCTCCTTCCCCCGCGGGAGGCGCCTGGTGTGCGCCATTTGTGGCGGGGCAGCGCCCATGGCAGGGCCCCAACCCCGGGGGGCGAAGGGGGGCTCGGCTCGCTGCGGTGGTGCTGTGGCGGCGGGACCGACACCAGGAACCTTTCCCGTGGGGAAAGGCGGAATGGCTTCTTCCCGGAGCGGGGGAGCTGAGTCGCCTCCGGGAAAGGCGCTGTCTCTTTCGCTGTTAGATGTAAACAAATAAAAGTTAATATTTTTAAAATATTATATTTATATTTATTTACGTCCTAACACCCTAAGGAGATGGAGGGAAGTCATTAAGCGAGCTTTCAGCTTGATCAGTCCAAATTAAATTGACTGCAGGCATTTCTACAGGGATGCTGGAGGGCTGTGATGAAGGCAAATGAGAATAAAGATTGCTCCGATTTTCGAAGTCTGCGTTTCCCTGTTTTACAGGTTTGGGCTTAGTTGTACCAAACTTGAAAAGGTAAAGACGCAAGAAATAACATCCTGATAATATTTAACACGAAATTATCAGGGTGTATCTTCTCGTCACCTTATTTTCGGCCCAGCACAGCTTTGCCCGTACCTAATGTTTATGCAAATCACAGGCAGCGTTTGGTACTGACTGTTTACACCCTCTTAGAAACTCCCAGGACAAAGGTCACAGCCTGCCCTTTCAGACTTGCCCTGCCACCGGTGGCAGCTATGTGAACACTCATGCAAGGCACTGGTACTTGCTGGGTTTAATATATTAAGTAAGAGTCAACATTAGACAAGCCAAGATTCATGTTCTTGGTGGACACCGTGCCTTGTCCTGGCAGCAAAGGCAGGAAAGTCAGAGCAGACCTAGTAAATAAGTGAAGTGCAATAAATGTTGAGTATAGAAACATTGCATTTACTTGATGAAAACATAAAGAAAACCTTCCTGCTTTAATTGAGTTGCCTTACTCGTAGTTTAAAGGGGTTTATTTCCTTCACTTCTTAAGGAAGTCTGTACTAATTCTTGAATCAGCTTGAAATGGAAGTGAGTGCTGGTCAATGAATAACTTTAAGGGGACCTATAAAATGAACTAGTTTTAATTCTCTGACTCAGGAAGTTATTTTAGAACGAAAGAATACATCTGAGAAACAAGATGTCTCCTGCTGGGAGTCAGTACCAAGATAAGCAATACAGGCACCATGAGAACCATAGATCCGACAGATACAAAGAAGACAGAAGAGCGAGAAAACCATACCAATACAATGCAAGGTATGTCTTTATCTTCCTCAAGAAATATATCACAGCAGGTCTATAATGTCTGCCTTCTCTGTTTGCTTTTTAATACCCTCATATTACTCAGCCTTGAAATCATGAAGCATGAGCACACCACATTTAGAACACATTTTACACTTAGAAATTTAACCTTTTTGTTTGTATTGACTTTGAGACGGGGCAGAAAGGCTGCATGACACGGGCAGAGATGTGAATTTCTTGGGATTATCTGGAACAAGTTGGGTCACAAGTAGGTGAAGTGTGGCCATGAGTCTTAGTACAGTTCCTGAAGAGACTGATCAGCAGGTGACAGCAAGCTGGTGCTTGCCAAATATGCATTGCTTAAATGAGAATGTTACATGACTGAGACCAGCACAAGGATTTCACGAGCTCTCAGGTTGCTCTAGTTCAGCTGTGAACACATTCCTATTAATCTGAAACAAAATTACTTTCTCTAGTCCCAGTCAATAAATGGCACTTGTTTAAGTGTCTAAGGCTGTTTGCAGCACTTGATAGTGGGTCAGCCCCTATCACCACAGTAAGCAGATCAGCTAATGGATTTCGAGTGCCAAATAAACTTGTAGGATATTACACTTCTCCTTCCAACCTGGCCAGCCTACAGCATGCAAAATGAGATCTTAGGCTGTTTTTCTTTTAGATCATACCCATGGATGCATTTGTAGGAAAGAGGTCTGTAGATCTAAACAGCACTGGCAAATTGGCCATGGCAGTAAAGTCTTTGTCACTCCCATTTAGTCTCTGAGGACATGATTGTAAGGGAATTTAAGATCAAAGACAAGCAGGGAGAAGAAATAAATATAATTAAGATTATTGAAAAGCTGAAATACTGAAGTACTCCCTGATAATATGCATTTTAGCAAGAAAAATGGGATGAGAATAAAAGGAGCAGAGGAGAGCACTGTGACTAGAAGGGCTACTTAAGTACTTATGGCTGAGTATAAAGCTTTTGGATAGTGGTAAACCTACTGTATTATGAAAATAGCTAATGAATTTTTTTTCTGTCTCTCTTAAATATTGAAAAATTGGAGAGAAATGGGAACAAAGGCCAGCCTGAGAATCATCCTCAGAAGCTGAATGCCTGTCCTTAGAAAATCTGAGATTGGCAGGCAATATAGTTAAATTATCTTGAACATGTTAGAAGTGAGAGCAGCTAATGCCAGTAACACATTAATAGCACTGTGGAGAGTAAAAGGGAAAAAGAAAATGGTTGGGTTTTTGGTGTGGCCTTCTTTTTTTTTTTATGTATAGCATACTATAAGCAGTGTGTAAAAGGCTAGCTATAAATTAAACCACCACTTTCTAATAAAGCACTTCTCTGTATTTCTTGGTTTTGCTGTTGGTTTCATATGTCTGGATACATAGACTGAAAACGGGTGGACAGACCATAAAGACTCACAGACCATCCCTGTACCCACCAGGGATTAGAGGAAGGGAAGCTGCATCTACAGATCTGCAATAGCCATGAAGATAATTCTTAGAGTCAAGTTGAGAATCTGGGGGGCATCAGATCTCACTAAAACTAATGGAAAAATTTTTTTATCAGTTGTTTTGAAGGGGTTTGGCTTAACCTAACAGGATTTCCCCTGCTTGATTCTCGTGGAGTTCTTGTGGATCTTGGTGAAAACTTTGGCTGATTGACCAAAGGACCTGCAGATGCTGTAATGAAATGGATGGGAAGAGTTTTGTGGAAGCTGCAAATTTAGGTGGCTAATGCTTTCATCCCTTATAAGCAAGACTTTCTAGACAGAAAGTCTTTCCAAATGAATAAATGTTTGAAACTCCTAGGGCAAACTTCTTCTCATTGCTGAGGAGAATTACCTAGAACAGGAAAGTCCTGAAGAAAAACAGGAGCGAAGGTGGCCAGAATAGGCCATAGTGAGGGAAAAAAAAAATCTAAAAAAAAGAATATTTTTTTCCTAATTGTGCTCTGTTGCTGAACATTAGGGAGTTTTTGTTTTGATTTTTTGGTTTGTTTTGTTTTCTGGCAAGTAGCGGGATACAATAGAGAGAAGCAGCTGCATCAGAAGTACCAAAGGGATTGCTTTCAAGTTACTGGAAGTCTTATAAATCACACAGCTTATTTAATTTATGTGACACAGCTGCACAGGATGCTTTGGTAGTTGCACAAGACACAGGACAAAGGTCAGAAAAATCAGAAATGTTTCAGCCAAATAGAGCTGTTGGCAACTAAATGCGGAGATGTTAGCATTGGTCTTGTTATTGAATGTCTTAATTAAAATGTAAAAACTACAAAGAACATGATTTAATGTGGATGAATGAGATAACATTGAGTCTGGAATTGGATGAAGATAAACCTTAGTAAAGTGCAATGATACTAGGAAACAAAACTACAGTTGAAAATGCTGATCTATGGATAAGACATTCAGATAAAAACTGAATAGGAAAAAAAGACTTTTAAAAATGATAATGCTGAATGAGACTTAAAATACCCTTTAATAACAAACTCATCCCAGCTGTACTTTGAGAAAGGCAAGCTCCAATTCTCCTTCAGATGAGGGAGAAAATTTTGATTAGACCAAACACTAAAACATTTACAGCCAATGTTTCTTTTAACTTGAGTTTTTAACTCCGTTAAGGAGGGCAAATTGCACTTTTCCTACAGAATATTCTAAATCTCACCAACCTTAAAAAAAATCAGATTTCAGATGTGGAGCTGTATGTCATTGCAGCAAAATGGATCATTTTGAAGTATATAAATGAAGAGACTACTTAGAGACATGAGAAATTGGTTTTTTGGGGGTTTGCTTTTAGATTCCTTCTCAAGTATCTTCAAAGACCTCAAGAACTTTGAACAGGCTATTTTCCCCCCAATTTAAAATCTTTATCTGTTTCTTTTAATAGCTTTTATTCTTTTAAAAGGCATCCTTGTGGGACACAGTAGTTGGAAGTACGAACTTATTACCTGGGCTGCTATGGACTAGTTAAAAACATTTGTTTTTCATGAAAAAAGCTGTTGTTCCTCCTGCCTACCTTTTGCTAGTAATCTTAACAGTTTGGCCAGCCTATCCAGTGAGGACATAATTTTTCCAAACTAAGGGCCATAGAGTGCAAATATCCTTGTGAACATGGATTTATGCAAGTATTTAGGATATTTGCTTTCAAAACAGGCAAGAAAAAAGATCAGATGCCTGTGAAGCAAGCTAGCTGCTTCCACTAAGAGGATGGTTTCTCATGTTCTAATGTTCAGGAGAGAGTATGATTTAATTAACAAACATTAGCTATTTTCTCCCTTGTAGATCAACAGAAGACATTCGAGGTGGCCAGCACTCAAGAACTTCTACTGTTTGCTCAGACCGTTATTCTAAAACCTCAGGAGCAACACGGGAGTATTTTGACCCACAACCAGAGTTTTATCCTCCCAAGGAAACCTTCTCAATGAAGTGTTCAAAGGTATGCACAACAAGAGGTATGTGAGACTCTTACTGCCTGCCATCCACCCCTCTCCTTCCAAGGACTTGTCTTGTTTTTAGTTTCTGTGTTTAGAAGCACAACAAAGTAAAGCTAGAGGAATATTTAAAAAAAAATCAAACAAACCCGATAACAACAAAAGCCCACAAGAACTGGGAGAGTTGAAGTTAATGAATGGCATAACTGAGGGTTATGCCATTTTAGACATTTAAAGGCAAGATTTATACAGATATTTAGACACTTGAAAATACATCTCCAGAATATTCATCCAGAACATCAGAGTGGGTCATGTGTGTAATCAGCCAGTTTGTGCAGCAAGAGTTAACCTTTGAGATTTAGAAATAAAATAGATATTTGCATCTGTAGGCAATTTAAAGATGGCTGCTGAAGGTTTGATGCTAGTTTATTTCCGACACATTCTTCTCAGACTTTTTATAGACTCTGGATTTAATCCAGTCATCACTCATACATCTTTATAAAGCACCATTGTGGGAGACAAAACTATTTTCTGGATGTGAATCCAATAAAACAGTTTTTGAGAAATAACTTAGGTTTTTCATAGCTAGAAAGCAACTGCAACAAGCACAGAAATGAGCATTAATTGAGCATTAATGTGGGAGGAAATCAGCCTTAGTAAACTCATTCCCATAAACTAAAAAAAAAAACAACAAACAAACAAAAAAACGCTCTAAAATATCCATTACCCCTTTGAAGTTTTCCTTCTTCCAGGACAACGGGCATTCTCACCTTGTTTGTAGGAAAGGTCCACTGCAGTCTGAGTTGAACCTGTAGCTAGGTGCAAAATCTTTGGCTGAAGTCTATAAACAGACTTTCAGTGTCCTCCAGTAAAGAGACAAATGAAGAGTTTAGCTGTTGGAAGTAATTTAAAGTACATAGTGTTAGATTATTTCTTCACTCCATGTAGGAAAGTTAAATAACACACTCATTTGCTCTTAATATTTCTCTGTATGTGAATAGATGAACAATTTTAAGAGTGAGCTGAACTATTTTCTCATTGTGTTCTCTGTATTTGTATGCAGTTTGGTTTTTGTCTTGAGATGTAACTGCAAACAATTGTAGAGCATGTTTAATAACACAGAGACATACTGATTTTTTATCCATGATAAAATTGTATCATCAGTTTCTTCTTCAGCCACAGTGAATTATTTTAACTTGTCTAAAAAACTCTAGAAAACTCCATGCCTTATTTTATCACTGCTATAGAAAAATAAGGTGGCAAATTATTTTTAGTTTTGAGTTTCACTAGTTTAGACTTATGAGTAGCTTAATGTGAATTTCTGGGGGTTTTTTTCCCTGCATTTGCTTCTTATTATTTCAGTGCATTAAACATCATTAATGTTTTTAAAATGTCCTACGTTTGGATGCATCAGTTGATAATGATGATTTCACTTCCCCCCCCATCCCCCTGGTATTGCTTATTATTTTCCAAAAATTTAATGTCTGAGCTTGTAGTGGAGGAGGGAAAAGAGAACATGTAGAAAAGAAGCCCTTATATTAGCAACTTTATTTCAAAAAATGAAAATATATTGGAGGTTGATAAGATTATGAGAATGTTACTCCCCTGTTTAATTTTTGAAAGCACTGGGATTTAGCAGACTTTCCTAGAATTGTTTTGCAGAATTCTGTGTTCCCTGCAATCACAGTAGATGTTATAAATGAAAAGCTACATGAATTGTTTACTAAAAAGTCAGTACATGTGAGCTACAACATTTTACAGCATGAGAAGTTCCTGTAAATACTTCTTAACCATCTCTTTCTTTTGCCAATGGTTTTTCAGCACTCTGGTGAAATTCCCCCTTTTCCAATCACCATAATTCTAAAATAAACTAGACTCAAACAAGGCTGGGACATCAGGTGATGTACCACAGTCTTTTCCAGAGCAACAACTGAAATGTGAACCTTACTTTCCAACCGTCCATTAAGTTGTTGGTTTTTGGTTTTTTTTTTCTTTTGCCTAGCACACAGTTATGTTCTTTGTGCAGTTTAGAAAACTAGGGAGGAATTCTATACAACCAGAGTTCTGAAAAATATTTGCTTCACCCAGATACTGCCCTCTTCATCCATGCTTCTTATAAGCAGTAGCCCAAAAAGCTAAAGGTGAGTTTCAGAAATAAGCAGTTATTTTTTTAGGGAACCTTTGAACACCTTAGCATCTTACGACATTTTAGGACCTCATTCTCCTGTCTTTGTTATTTCCCCCCTTCCCTCCCTAATCCCTGCCCACCCTTTTTTTTTTTTTTTCACTACAACCACATTAGGACAATAAACCCAACCCACATATAATGGAAGAAACAGCTGATATTGACCTTTTTTTCCAGTAGGAACATTTGATACCATCTAAGAAACTTCAAAACATTCTGCTCTTTTTTAATCCTTTTGTCTTGAAAACAGAAGGGGAAAAAAGTCTGTTAAAACATTATATGAGTGATACCTATGCAAAGGCATTCAGGTAGGATCACATGGCTGTAGCAGTACTGGATCATATAAGGCACCTGATTACTCATCCTCCCAAATAATGGACTAATGTATAAACTTAGGAGGACCATCAAAGTTTGGACCAGTAGAGAGTGAGCTGTCTTCTGGAATACATTCCAGACTTTGGATTGGTGGAATTTCCTGAACTGGAAAACTGCACTCACATCTATTATGTTTAACTCCTCTTTACAGACCTATCAAATTTGTTTAATTCTCTTCTGAATCCCCTTTTGAATGTTTGGCCTTCGCATTACCTTACCACAAGAAGTTCCAAAGTTTCTTTGTGCCACTTCAAGAAGTACTGTTTTGTTCCTTAAAACATTTAAAAGAAGGTATCTCTGCTTCTGGTGGTATCCAACATACCTAGTGATAATCTCATATATACACCTTCTCCGTGAGATTTTTGGTTTTGGGTGTGCCTATGCTCCTGTTCTTCACAGCTTGAACATTAGTCAGTTTTGGCCTTAGTGAGAGCAAAGTCTTCCCAGTTTTGGTTAGCTTGCCAGTCTTACACCTTTTCCAGATCCACCGTACCTTTTGGAGATGGGCTGACCAGAAATGCGGTAAAAATACCAGATAAGTTCCAAAAAGAATCAGATATCTGCATAGAGGTTCTGGTTCTGTAGTCCTGTTCTAATGCTTCCTAGCTTTTTTTGTGGTGTTTGACTATCAGTGAACAGTGAGCTGATGTTTTCAGAGAAGGATACGTGATGTCTTTCTGGAGTGCAAATACTTTGTTTAGAGTCCATCTGTGTGCTCTGTAGGGGAGGGGGCTGGGGGTGTGTGTGGGTGGTGTTTCTCTACATGCATGAAGTGTGAGGTTGCTTAACAAACTGATTTCATTAACTTCTCATTCAAGAGCTTGAGCTCTCAGCAGCCTACCAATTTTACAGTTAGCAATCATGAAGATTTTTTTTGTGATTATTATTACAGCAGACTTCACCATCTCACTTTTCAGTGTTTTTAATTCATTAGTCTGTGCATCGACAATCGTTTTTTGTTGAATCACTTTGGACCCTCACTTACAGCTCTTTGGGCCATATTGCAGAGCAAACCCTGGATGCACAAACTGTATTTCCCTTGGATAAAACTAAATGAGAGGGTGAGCTGTAACCCATAGCAGGCGGTCTGCACTTTGGACTGAACTAGAGCCAAAATATAGTACATCTCTACCCAGAAAACAGCTGTCGTGTTGCCCCTACATCTTCAGCTCCACTTGTTTGACTTTACAGATCCCTCCTTCTTCATTGCTAACATGGGCATGCTGCTGACAGGCAACACAAACTAGTGATTACTTCCTTAACTCTATATGCATGAAAACTGGTTGTTTGCTTTTTATTTTCCTTTAGCCACTGCTAGCCTGTGAGAGGATTTTTTTATCTCACGGGAGCTTGTGTCATTTAAGAGCACTACCTTTCTTCATGCATCTGCTGATTCTTTCAGATGACTTTCCTCTGACAGATTTTTGACTATTCCCTGCTATGCTATCTTTATATCTCGTTTCTGTATGTTGGGGTTTTTTTCCATAGGAAAGTTACACTTGTGGGCCTACAGATTACAGATTCAAAAGATAATAGAAACAAAGAAGTCTGCCACCTTCTGTTTCTTCATTAGTGAAGGGGATTTAAGGAACAGCTTATAGATTGGTGTCAACTGTCTAGATGCACTATGTAATTTTATAGGAATTGGAAATAAACTGTGATAAAGACAAACCATTCATCAACTAAGTAACTCCTGTTTGCAATAGCCATTTCTTACAACTTATGCACATTAATGCATGCCATTTAAAGCAGCACGTATTGAAAGCAACAAGAGTTTGTTGACCTAGGGATACTTAGAACTGAAATTCTCTCAGAAGGAAGCATTCAATTTACTTTTCACAGTGCAGTTAAAAATTCTCTACTTCTCTCTTTTGTGCAGAAAAACTAAATTAGTAATCATTTTGCCTTTCAAAGAACCCTGCTTGGGCTTACTGAAAATATAACCAGATTCAGTGCTTTTGTTTAGCAGAGGCAATGAGAAAAGTGTTCAAGGCTGGCTGCCATGCAGCTTCCTTTGTCTTAGCGAGAGTAAAATCTGAGTTGAACCCAAGAGTGAATTGCTGATCATAAATTGGTCATGGATATTTGGTCACTTGACCTTGAAAATTTTTAATTTTCTTTTTATTATATATATTGGTGTGAAAGAGGTGGAGCAATGCAGTTCCAGGATAATGCCTCCTATACTTTTGCTTAAACAGTGAAGGTAAACTAAGTTCCTCCCATCTTCAGTCAGTATGCAGTTCAAGACATTGCCTGCCCTTTTGCCTTCCATAGAATTGTACTGTGCTGGTCATAATTTCTGAGCAAATAACCTTTTTTTTTTTTTTAATTCTTTGACTCACTTGGCATTTAAGGGAGACAACACCTAAAAGGTTAGAAAATAGTTTGTGGAGGAGCAAGTATAATTGAATCCCTGTTATTTGCTGCCATGAATACAGCTTTGCGCCTTGAATAGTGTCAC